TTTCGCTGGTTCCATTACTTGAAAAGATGAAGGTTCAAATGATGTTGTTGAACGCCACAAACAGAAATGTTCATTGGAAGCCAAAAATATATAATACCGTTTCATGATCAGATTAGCAAGACACTTTTTTTTTCTTCAGAATTTTGGTTGCTCGGATTGAAGGTAAGAGGCCATCCAGAAGACCTCCGTACAGACAAGATAATATTAAAACAGGACTTGAGGGTGTGGGCTCGATTCAGCTGGCGCAGGACAGAGACAGGTGGCGGGCTCTTGCGAAAACGTCTATAAAATTTTGAGTTTCATAAAGGCGGGTAATTAGAGTAGCTGAGCTTTTCTTTTTTTAAAAAAAAAATCTCCGCTCCGTGGGGCGAGTTTGTAAGACATACGTTAAGTGAAATTTGAAGAGACTTCGCTGCATAATTCTAAGAATTTTGCGATGACTGTACTTCTTCGAATGGGGACAAAATTAACACAGAAGTGAGCCAAGCGACGGCTGGTTCTAAAAATGTTTTACTGTTTTGATGTTATGTGGTCCCTCGCTTTTAAACGTCTGTGAGCTATTTTCGGATTATAATTTTAACCGCGTGTTGTATGTTCAAGATTAGGAAGAGACATAACACAAAACCCCACTTCAGTGTCCAGAGCTTTAATGTTCTGCAGATTATTAGGGCTGTTATTTTTTTATCAGCGTCAATTCGCACACAGCTCTCATTTGAATCACACTTCTTACACTATTTATGTAGTATATTTATTTTGTACAGTCTATACTGTACAAAATAAATATATTTAATCAAACACAAACATGACGCATATAAGATACAAATATTTATGTAGTGTTTACAGAACTGATGGCAATGTTACCTGATCGTCATGTTTGCATTAGAATCTTAATTGTCTTCAAGTTCCTTTACACACGACAGATCTATTAAGATTGCACGAGGCGTGACTCAGCTGATGCTGAATTACGAAGTGACGATGATAATTTTTTTAAAAAAAAAATCAGCGAACACATCAGGATGCTGCTATAGACGATTTGTACTGCAGAGTTAGAATTCGAAATCATGTTTCTGAATTTGTGAAGCTGTTGCTATAGAAATCATTCATGAGCTCGGGATAGCTTGTTGGCAATACAAGGAAAAAATAAACTATTACCTCTGATCTCGAGGTATTACGAAAATGACCATAAATTTTGAGGTTCATGTGAAATGATCTACCTGAAAACTTGCTTAAAATGACTCATTCGCAAAACGAATTATAGGAGCATATCCACAGAATACTTTCTGCTGGGGTCTTGTGCACACCTGTGGATTTCGACCGTTCATTCACAAATTTCAGCTCGAGAAACGGACGGATTTTCACGAAATTTGATATCAGAGTTCCTTACGAAAGCTGTTAGGCCAAAGGTGATTTATATTTCCATAAACATCGATATCAAGTAAGTTTACCGACGTTTCAGAGGTGCCTGATTGTGGCAGCAAGCAATTCTTAAACGTCGGTAAACAACCATCTTCATATTCGCTACAGTGAGAACCTCAGATCTCAAATATTTATTCCGATGTTCGTCAGCGTTTCGCTGAAATTTTCGTGTACTTTCGCCGAATTTCGGCTCAAAACGCTGCTTTAACCAATGAAGTTGCCTTGTCAGCTAGTGTGAGTGCAGTTATCAGCAAGCCAGATAGACAACAGCAGAGTTAGTCATGGTCACGTGCATTACTGATAAAAAGTTAGTCACAAGGCACGAGACCTTTCAGCTCAGTGGCACTCGGATATGACTAGAATTAGTTACCTATTCGGATGACGACTTCTTCAGGTTCTGTCCGCGACGTCTGGAGGATTTCAGTCAACTGCTAAGTGTCCAGCGCGAACCATCGCATATAAATTATACCAGCTCCCACGCTCCCATTGGCTGGGCTCGTAATGCGCTCCGGAATGTTGTTTTAACGTCTCACCGAGTGGGGTGTATCGTATTATGGGGTGCTGACTGCGTCCTTATAAAAGACCTAACCCCCGCACAACTCTTTCAATACCAGGAATTCATACAGGAAGGAGACGAGTAAGAAGGACCAGTTTCCGGAATGTTGTCTACTCGATCTGGCTATTTTTGGAAATCTTTGACGAAGTGAATCTTCTTTCTGTGTGGGCATTGTCCTTTCAACATTTCTGATGCTCCTCTCCGCTGTGATACAAAGAACGGTCCTGTTACCGCGAAGACAGAAGAAACTTTCTTACCCACCTACGAACACACTCGGTCCAGATCTCCATTATAACATACCGTCTCCGGGTGACGGGATGATTTGTGGGTTCTGTTGGCAGAGGGCCAACTAATTAAGAATGAATAACGGAGATCTGTATATTATTTAACGATGTTGTATCAACAACTGAGGTTATTTAACTTCGGATGAGACAAGAGAATTGTTCTGCGGTACTTCTAAATTGGTCTTCGACCGTGTTTGGTCTAAATATTGTACTAATTACTCTGTTCCTCCCTTAAAGTGAGAAGCCACGTTCCACACCCGTACGAAGCAAGCAAAAAACAGTAGACAAAAGATTGTGAACGTCATGGTAGCAAACATTGACGTAACCTAATCTCTGTTACTTCTGTGACATGTTACTAATAAACTCTAACCCCTTAACCTCTGATATGCTAGTTTTATGAGCTAGAGCGCCCGTCTTTAAGTTGTTGAAATTTTCGTCTCCGTAGAAACATGTACACGGCCACGGTGGTCTAGCGGTTAGAACGCTGGCCTTGTAATCCTGGGGTCTCGGGTTCGATTCCCGGCGGTGCCCGAATTTATAACTTGTGTTGGGCAAGGCCGTGGTCTAGGCAACACGGAGTTTTCCTCCATGGCATCCCAACAATTACTCCATTCACACACAAAAGAAGGCAATGGCAAACCACTTCTGAATCATCTGCCAAGAACGTATATGAACAGGTCCCAGGCCGAGAAAAGGAGGGAAGGATCCTGTTCATATGGACCTGTCCTCAGACAGAACACTAAATAAAATAAAAAATTAAATTTCTCGTCCAAGGATTCCTACCAAAATGTCTATAGATCAAGCCAACGAAAATTTGGGACCCGCAGTGCTCAGCCACTATCCCAGTATTTAAATTTAGGTCCGATTTCTTAATCTCAAACAACATTAAATTCAGTGCGTGTCAAATAAGGCGTGAATAATATTACATTCGATAAATGTAAAAATGAGATCCAATTTCTTAAACTCAATCAAAGCAGACTTGTATTTCGTGAGCTGTCCGTATTCCTCAGGATCGTAGAATTGTTAATCCACGTTTCGCTTATGCCAAAATGCCACCTCCCCCAAACACTGCGCTCCTACCGTCTCCACCTTGCTACCCTCTGGACGCTGTTCCATTTATCACTGCCTGCTGCATCGCCTCGATGTATGATCGTTTGCTGGGTGAGAGGCGCACTGATATCCCGTTCTGACACACCCCCAAAAATTGTTATAATTTTATTTATTATTTTCACATACTCTTAGAAGGTAAGGTGAATGTATATGAGCTTTCTCCCTTTCTAACGACCTTCTTCTGGTCGTAACATTGCACCAACTGCTTACACGTCGTCATGTGTATTATGAGGACCGTCTTTTGTACCCTCGTCTTGAGTACAAAGTTCATTAATCACTTCTGTTTGTGGCCATGGTGGCGCCTTTCGGGTCGATACGTAACAAGATCGATACTCCAAGTCGAGGAAAGGCGCTTCTGAACTTCAGACAATGATTTGTTTCTGAAAAGAATCTCCTGGTACACCAAAATTCGGAGAAATACACCGTTCATCTGTGCCAAGGATTGCTGTTCAATGCCGATGAATTTTGTGTTCTTCGAAACACGTTCGTCACTCGTTTTCCTTTGTAATTAATTTGTTGCTTCCGTTCTGTCCATCTTCTGCGTTGTCTCTTCAAGTTTCGCCTTTCTCCGCACGATATTAGAGCTGTTCGGTTGGTAACTTACGTCATGACATTTTGCTCATAAACACAGCACAGTTGCCATGGCAGCTGTATTAATTAAAAATACCTGCTCGCTCAGAGTTCTGTGTTCATGTCAGATTCACACAAATAAGAAATTAGATCCGAAAATTAAGTATCATTAGGAGTTCGTAATCCTCCGAAGACGTTGTTTCGCGTCTGTAGACGTCAGAATAAGATCGCAATAAAAAAAATTATAAATGAAGATGCCTGTCTTTTGGGATCTTGAGCAGTGTAGTTTGGTAGGTACTTACTGCCTCTGTAAGCACTAAAATCATTTCCGAAACGTCGGTAAATTTCTACCAAACTACTCAGTGCAACATCCCAGAAGACAGTCCTCTTCAAACTCACAGCCGTGAGAACCTGAAATGTCACATTTTTAACGTAATACTCTGACTTTTGATGAACTGAGGAAAACCACGAAAGACCTTCCTGAGTCTCGGCCGAAAGTCGAACTGTTGGTGCGTGGTACTCATGACTATTATTAAGAAATAGTCCCACAAATCCGGCTTTACCAATAGCGAATTAATTATCCAATAGTTTAATTCGCTTTAAATATCTAATTGTGCTTACGACTTGTAAAGACTTGTCATTAATTACCGATTTAACCGCGAAAATGAAACAATTGTTAGATTCTGCTTGAGGCTGGCTGATCTCATTTCCTCCTCGTCTGGACAGAACCGTAGATTTTGTTATCAGTTCCCTTGTTGTGCCCCCTTCGGCCTAGGAAATTTTAAAAACTCCCAACAGCGATGGAAATTTCTAGTTTTCCCTGGTATAAACTAATTTTGATGGTTTTTTGGGGGGGGCTGTTCGCGATAAGAGATGAAACACGGTAAATTATCTGTTTACGCTGTGATCTGCCACCGAAATCGACTTCTTTGGTGACATTCCGTGTCATTTTTATATTCAGGCCACGGCCTTAGAGTCACTTGATTGAGCAACCGACACCTTCAAGGGCAATTAGCTTGTGTGATTGGTTCGTGGAGTGAGAAGTCGTGGCTATGCTCTTGACACTTCGCCCTGTCACACGTTTAGAGCTTTCGGACGTCGGTTCCTTGTGGCACACCCCTAAAACGTAAAAAAGTTCACTTACAGAAACCCACGTTCCTCTGTCCAATCCTGTATTGACTATCAGAAAATGTCGAGATCTACTAATAATATTGAAATAGACCAGTGGTGTTCAACCTGGGGTACGCGTACCCCCGGGGGTACGCGAAGACATCTTAGGGGGTACGTGAAATTTAAAAAAAAATATATTATTTTATGATAAACACCGAATAATCAGTAATGTAATTTATTTAATTTATTTAAGATGTAGATTATATACTACGTATAACTTGAATTATACACCAACAACTTTGGGGGTACAAAGTTGAAGAGAAATTATATCTGGGGGTACGCGAGCAAAAAAAGGTTGAATACCACTGAAATAGACCATAGAGAAATGGCTTACGAATACGTAAACTTGTAAATTACCCGTCAGTTATGACACACACAGTCATAATGAATATCACGCAAGGTCAGAGACTTCTTACCAGCATCTGTTTAACATGTTGCCTAATTAGCTGAATGACTGATGTTTGAGGGACATTGTATACATTGCAGTTAATAACACGTGCCGTTCGAGGTTCGCGCTTCATATATTGCCGACTTAAATTAATCAGAAAGACTGTGCCGTCTCGTTATAGAAACTGATGGCCCCCGTTAGGTCCCCCTTGAAAACCCGTTACAATATTTTATATGCTCACCCTCTCCCGTTATATCGAAGTCCCTAGAATCTCGCAAGGTTTCTCGGAAATTAACGTCACGTGGGCTGAGGGAGTTAAAACAGCTGAGTGCTGAGGTGCAGACGCTGCAGTGCGTTCTCTGGACCATGGCAGTGAAAGTCTCTGGATTATCTCTAGACCCAGACACGCAAATGAATATCTTTCAATATTAATTGACCTTTTGAAGGCCAGTGGTAAGTATATGTACCACCTGCTTCAACAATCAGTGTCTCTGCATTTTGTATTTACGTGTTTCGTATCTATATTACAGTAAACTGCGATTATTTCCTTAAACAGCGTTAACCAGTTGTATTACGTAATGGTGAAGTGTAGTGTTTTCTTCGCGGTACGGACTGAACTCTTAAATAATATTTAGACGAGCTTCGTGCTTCAAAGGGTTCATTATTTACTGTTTCAATGAGTTCAGGAACGTGATGCAAATAACTGTATTTCGTCTTTAAATAGTTCGCAGAATTTAAATTCTCATTGTATAATTACGTAACAATGTTTTTTTTTAAAAAAATTATGTTATGCGGAATTTATAAATAAGGTTGCCAAAGCAATGTATCATCAAGCTCATAAGGGAGTGTCACCAAAGCTAAAATTAAATAAATATAATTTGAACATTCTAATATAATAATTCGACGGCCTTCATAACTCTGTGAGGGCGGACAGAAGAAAGTAATTTTAGCTGTTAATCTCTTTACTATCTCAAAATATTTTGTTCGACAAAAAAATACTTTGGCGTGTATCAAAAGTCGTGATAACTTATATTAAATTTTTATTGAGTGGCGTTGACCACAGTCACGGGAGGGAAATAAGGTAAATTTACAACTGTACCCTCCTACCACGAAACTGTGACAGCCAAAGTCACTAAATGATATAAGAATACAAATCTTACCTGGACTGATGCTGTTTTGAAAGTAAAAGTGTGACGTATTATGCAGCCAGATGTTTTCTAGTTCTATGACGTTCTGTACACACGCGTTGTTCTACAGTCACATCACACAGACGTTCGCAAATTACTTCCGCGTAGTTGCAGCAGACGCTGTGAACTGGCGTTCGTTCTGTGAAGCTAGCAAACAGCTGAACCGAGCACAGCGCGACACTTTCCGGCACACGTAACAGCAGTTATGGCACCAGGCGATAAGAACGTGTTTAATGAAGCCAGATAACTGGAGAAAAAAGACACACGAATTGTATGTTCAAGGATTTTACGGAGGCGAATCGAAGGCTGTTAGGAGAAACAACAGAACAGCGAAACTGTTGGGGCGTTGGTGTTGAAACGAGCGAAGTCGTGGTCCCTGGTGTTAGCGCGGGGGAAGGGAGAGGAGGAGGTAGGATTCGCGCTTACGTCACAAGCAGCGGTTAGTTTGTACCACTGACTCAAGGGAATGGACAGAGAAAGAGAGTTATATTTCCGAAATGTGGGTCAACTTGTAAAGGGTTCACACAGCTCCAAACAAGTTGAGAGAATTTCCTTTCGGGGGAATTTCATTTGTCGATTGGCGGGAGTGAGTAGGTGAGACAACAATGGATTTAATAAATCATGGCCTTCTGTATTTAACGTCAGGTCTTTGGTTTGGTTAACAATGTGTTTCGTGCCGAAATATTGTTGGAGACATTCAAAAGAACTGCAGTTTAGAATAGACCAAATATTCAGTCATTGTTGCGTAGCGGATGCATAGTAAACCTACGTGGAAATCTGTTAAAATTATTTAAAACTTAACAGTTTTGGTATAAATATACATTACGAGGATGTCCACGTCAGAGAGTAAACGTGTTTCGCTGTCTTTGTCGACTGTCTCATCTGGAAAAAAATAAGAATGGCCTTGAACAGGCCTGTAGTATATAAGTATTCATTAAACGCGCCTCAATTCGAATTTTATTTGTTTAAAAATAATAAATGTATTTGAAAGAAATTACGGAGCTTAAAACAGAATGGAAATTGACGTTTACTGTTGACAAATTATGCTCGCAAAGTCGACTTGTATCAGGCCCAACTGATTTGTCTGCGGTAAATGACCCTTTCCAACGTCTTCAAGTAGCTCTTACGTTATTTAACCACGCTGTATCAACTGCACGGGCTATATAGTGACAGGCGGCCATGAATGTGGAGTGGATTGTATATTTGTCTGAAGGTATTAATACGTAAATGCGTTCCCTGCAGAGATTCACGAAGACCTCAGATAACATGAACGTAGGAATATTCGAACGCCTGCCTTCTGAGTACTATAATTAAATAAAAAAATAAAAAATTTAGTTTTCATTACGGAAATTTGCTCACCTAACAAGCGACTAGTGAATTTTCAGCAAGAAATACCATCCCTGATATGACGCCATGTACCACATCCTAGCGAGATAAATTATAATGCAAATAAACTTATCTGTATCAGCCGAATAGGTTTATGAAAGGTGAACATGCACTGTGATGTTAAAATTATCGGGTAGAGAGATTCCGTAGCCTGTATAAGGCCACAACTGAAGTATTATACCGGGGCATTACCGTGGAGTGACTGAGGAAAACCCTCGATTAACGTAACTCATTCCTTAGCCCAGACTCGAACTATGTAACCAAGATATACAAGTCGGACCAGCCCATCCCTAATACGGTTATAATTAACTTTTGCGAATAAAGGAGCATACGTGCTACATGCCCCGCCCATCTCATCGTCGGTGATTTGACGAGCGGAGTAATATCCGGCGAAGAACACAAATTGTGTTGTTTCCTATTCTTTATTTCTCTCTAGCTTCTTAGTTCCTTGTTATGAAACTGTCTCAGTATGAAGAACATTCTGATTGCATTCAGTACCCAAGGGTTGAACATGTCGGGACGCTGTTTTATGTGAGGGCGGTGCCCGAATTTATAACTTGTGTTGGGCAAGGCCGTGGTCTAGGCAACACGGAGTTTTCCTCCGTGGCATCCCAACAATTACTCCATTCACACACAGAAGAAGGCAATGGCAAACCACTTCTGGATCATCTGCCAAGAACGTATATGAACAGGTCCCAGTCCGAGAAAAGGATGGAAGGATCCTGTTCATATGGACCTGTCGTCAGACAGAACACTAAATAAATAATAATAACACTTCAGAAGTGGTTTTAGCAGGCCACTTAATGGTAGGCATACGTGATGATATTAAAATGAATCTCAAATAGATAAGATTTGAAGGAGTGCATTGGATGTATCTGGCACGAGAAGGGGACTGCTGGCGGGCTGTTGTGAACGCGGTAATGAACATATAGGTTTTATAAAAGGCGGATACAATTCATGGAATTGATTACTTATTCCTGTAAAGTCAATGGTGTAGACACTGTTCGTTTGGTGTTCTTTAGGTTCAAAAAGGTTACATCCGTAAGGCGTATACTATATTCCAAACAACTTCACATAAAATCTACTGCAATATGCACGTATTTCTTTGAATTCTGCGTCGTTGTTTTGATTTGATGTAATATTTTAAAAGATGGCATAAGCTTTCAACACTTTTGTCGATAGACCTGATGGGAAGATACCACTTCGGAAGACCTTGTTGTAGAAGGTAGGATAAAATAAAATCAGATTTTAAAGAATTGTGATGAGAGGGCGTGGATTGGATTCGTCCCTCTTGGGATACGATACAGTGGCTGTCTATTGATAACACGCCAGCGAAAATAGGAGAATTTCTTAACTAGATGGGCGACTACAAGCTTCCGAAAAAGGACTTTGCTTTATGGAGTTAGTTACTTGTTTTGGTGCTTATGATTTGAGATTGTGAACATTCTAGAAGGCTTTAAGTTTATGTAAAACAAACGGACAAACAAGTCTGCAAATTCTTGACTCGTCAGACCAATTTTTTATGTAATTATTTAACAGTAGCGAATTGTAAAATAGGCGCATGAAACCACATGACAAAGGAATGCGTTCGTCGCGTGTATTTCTCTGAAGAACGAAGGTGTTTTATTGGGTCTGGCATTTGGTGTTGAGAATTTCATGTTCCCGATAATGATCAAAAGTATAGTTAGGAAGCATATAAATGAATTGACGTCAAAGTAATGCTTGTAACTTCTCCGGGAGTCACGAATCCTTACGCTCAGTCACGCTATTCAAAATCTGAACGTAATATTTGCATTGGAGTGTAAAGAAAGGGTCACTGTGTTTTAGACTGATCTGAATATTATATGTAAGGAAGGCGCTGATTATGGTACAAACTAGAGCAGAGCGCTCCGTTCGGAGCTCCTCGGGGGGTTGGTCAAGTTTTTAAAACGCAACCAACCCCCCTTCGGGGGAGGGGATTGCGTTTTAAAATATTGAGTAAGAAACTAAACCAACCAACCCCCGAATAGGGGGTTGGTTGCGTTTTAAAATCTTGAGTGAGAACTAAACCAACCCCCGAATAGGGGTTAAAACACTTGACCAAACCCCCTTCGGGGGGGTTGGTTGCGTTTTAAAATATTGAGTAAGAAACTAAACCAACCCCCCCGAATAGGGGGTTGGTTGCGTTTTAAAATCTAGAGTGAGAACTAAACCAACCCCCCGAATAGGGGTTAAAACACTTGACCAAACCCCCTTCGTGGGGGTTGGTTGCGTTTTAAAATATTGAGTAAGACGCTAAACTAACCGATTTTTTGACCACAAATTGTTTGGCTACAAATTGGTTGACGACGACGACAAATCATAAATTTTTATAGTAAAGGAAGAAAGATGCACTGTACTAAATAATATTCCGCAATTGTTACAATTGGAATTGTCGCTGAAAATTAATTGTTTATGTTTATAGATGAATCTTAACCACTTTTTCCTTTTTTGTGAACCGGGATAGCTCAGTCGGTAAGGTGGCGGATTACATGCTCGGCGACCGTGGTTGTGTTTCGGATTTTATTTTGAGAACGCGGTTCAAAACCTGCTGGTTCGTTAAGGGGGCTTTTATTCTTAAGTGCCTGAGCGTTTAAACAAGAATTCCGAACCGTGTGGTTAGTGTAAACATTTAGCTACTCTGAAGAAACTGTAACTTGCGTGGTTTTTGCTAATTCACGTCATCAGTGGCCAGTGATTGTATAATTTGCCCGAGTCCTTCGCCATTTATCCGAATTAACCCTGCAACTGATGTAGGGCGAGGCCGATTACATCCTCGTCCGACCGTCGTGGCCCAGCGGTTGGCACTCGGGCGGTCTAGGCTTCAAATCCCTGCCTGGCATGACCGCTCGATTTTGTAATTTCTTTAATCCACCGCTGTATACTTAAAAAATTCAAGCGTCATTAAATGAACAAACAAAGCTAAATCAACTCATCTGACCTTTCGCTGTAGGCTAACTCACACCCAGATATCTATCGATGATGAATTAGGAATATCACAAAATATTTTCTTTACGATAGTAACTTTCCTAACCGGGATTCGAAGCGAGGTCTTTCCAAATCTTAAACACTAACCACTGCTTCGTTACACTTAAGATGGTAAAGTTGCGTCATATTTTGTTATATAATAAGTATATATTAAATCTTGTCCGTCTAATCACAATAAATTCTTATTAAATATTAAAATATTACAATAATTAACATTTAAAATATTTAGGAACTGAAACATGTCGTGAAACATGAAAAAATGATGGTCTAATGTAAATCGAATATTTCGATAAAGAACATCATTTAATATTTTAAATATTTTAAATGTTAATTATTGTAATATTTTAATATTTAATAAGAATTTATTGTGATTAGACGGACAAGATTTAAATATATATTTATTATATCACAATATGACGCAACTTTACCATCCTAAGATATGTATTCAGTTTTCCTTCTGTTTATGATGTACTTGTTACGTTGCCTGTTAATCCCCTCTCCGTCTGAACACTTTAATTATAAATTTCATCACAGCACATCCTAAACAAAAATTCTACATTGCAACATCACCATTAGTCTGCACAGATACGAACAACCCACTCATACACGTTTCACCTTTTAAGGTACAACCAGACAAAACTGAATTTCAATCGAATTGAATGTGTTCGTTGTTTAAGAAAACCGCTCTGTCTGGTCTAAAAACAAGGAACTCACTTGTTCTCACAAAATTGAGAACTTCCTTGCAACACCTCGTCTTCGTGATATTTTAAGTGTTGGTCTCGACGAGGCATTGGGGGGGGGGGGGGGGGGGATAAGTGATAAAGGCTTTTCCAACAGCAGCTCGTTACAAAAGACTGTCCCGAGACAGTTATCAAGAGTTGGCAAAAATTTGGCCTGTGAAGAAATTCAATCTGACTAAAGTTAGTGTTAAGGTTTTGTTAATAACACAGCATTTTATTAATTATTGCCAAATTTCTT